CCCTCCTTCGCTCTTTGGCCCTCTCAGGGAAGGGCTTCCATCCAGGCCTGGTGCTCATCGTCAGCCCGGGTTGAAGGGAGGTGCTCCTTGGGTCTCTCTGCAGAGAGCCCAGCCACTGGGCTGGGAGCAGCTGCCTTAGCTTGGGGCAAGGAGGGCAGCCCCTGGAGGTAGAGCAGCTTCCCCCTCTGCTCTTGCAGAGGGCTCTGAGCCTGGGCCACTCCTGGGGGCGTTGCATGAGTCGGGGGAGGGGCACCTGGAGCTTTCATCCCCGTGGTTTGAGAGGTGCTGCTGTCTCTGCATGGATGCATGGACTTCAGACGGAGGGGAGCTGGCAGTGGCAGCACTGGTACCCAGGCTAGGGCAGGAGGGAGCCGTCAGCCAGCCTGACCCCCGCCTTCTCCTGGGCAGCCCCCCCATCAGCCATGAGTACTATGACCCAGCGGAGTTCATGGAGGGCGGCCCACAGGAGGCAGACCGCATGGATGAGCTGGAGTATGAGGTGAGCCAGCAGCCAGGCCAGGACCCACAGCCGGCCTCGAGAGCCTGCCCTGGAGGGCTGTCGAGTTCCTGCTGCTCCCAGGCAGCTGGGCCCTGTGCCCTTCCCAGTGTACATCGGGCTGAGTCCGGGAGGGCATGGGTGAGGTCGTCCGTCCTGTCCACGTGGGTGAGTCCGTGTCTCATGCACGTCTGTGTCCTGTGTGTCTGGTGTCTCTCCGGGTGCTTCCTGGTAGGGGAGACCACTGAGCACGTGCACCAGTCGGTATGGTAAGAAAGGAAACCCCCCAAACTGGGCCGGAAACGGGTGCAGGTGACCTGGGGTGAACTGCAGCGCTGGTGCTGGTGCTGGTGCTGCTGGGGCCGGCCCACGTCTTCTGCTCACAGGCTTCTGGGCTTTCTACTTCTGCTTCCTCCCTCCCCCTTGTGGCAGGAGGGGGAGCTGTATAAAAGCAGCCACCGCCACAAGCTGGGCCTGATGGTTTGCTACCGCACAGACGACGAGGAAGACCTGGGTATCTACGTTGGAGAGGTAAGGACTGGCCTAGCCCAGTGGCCTGTCCCTGTGGCCTGCCCAGAAGGGCTGCAGGTGTCATGGGCAGGAGAAGGCTGAGGCCCAGCCGCCTTAGCGGGCCTGGGCCCTCTGCCCCTCCTGAGGGCAGCTCTGTAGCTTTCCCGGGCCAGTGGCATCCCGTTACCATCCCCTCTGAATGGCAAGCCCTCCCGTCCGCCAGCCCTGGCTGATTTGTCCGTTTGAGAAACCACTGCCCACCCCTGACAAAAAAGAACAGGCATCCGTACAGGGCCTGGGAAGTTGGCAGCCCGAGTGTCCCAGGAGGGGAGAGGCAACTAGCCAGAGGCCTACTGCCTCCTGTCTCTGTTTTGGGGAACCCTGAGGTGAGGCTGCCCATTCCTACTGAAAGGGCAGGCAGAAAGTCCCCAAGATGCCTGCATCCTGCAGGTAAATCCCAACAGCATCGCAGCCAAAGACGGCCGGATCCGTGAGGGAGACCGCATCATCCAGGTGAGGGCCACCTCTCCTCGCCATTCTCACTTGCCTGCCTGTCCTATGTGCCCACCCGCCACCGGGCAGCCTGCCTCGCCGAGACCTGGCCTGAGGCTTGTCTTGTCCTGCCACCCTCCCCGAGGGGCTCTGTGTACCCAGGGGTTCTGTCCAGCCCTCCCCCCAAAATGCAAGCATGTGTGCACTGCACGCTGGCCCGAGCACACAGGCCTGGCCTAGCCCAGTGGCCCTGCTCACTGTGCCCGGGCCTGCTGCAGATCAACGGTGTGGATGTCCAGAACCGGGAGGAGGCAGTGGCCATTCTAAGCCAGGAGGAGAGCACCAACATCTCCCTGCTGGTGGCCAGGCCAGAGAGCCAGGTGAGTGTGTCTGGCAGGCAGCAGCACAAGGGCACAGACACGCCAACAGCTTAGAGCCAATGGAGGGAGTTGGGCTAGCCTCCCGGGCCTGCTTCCTCTGGTATCTGATGGCGGAGTGGACTGCTACACCCCCTCCCCTGCCCTGTGCCTCAGGGGGTCTGACCTCACCAAGACCAGGCCAGGTGTGGGGCCCAAGTGGCCCAGAGGGTTATCTGGGGAGGTCCTTGCAGTGGTGGGGGCAGTGTAGACCTGTCTCTGCAGCTGGCAAAGCGGTGGAAGGACAGTGACCGCGATGACTTCCTGGATGACTTTGGCTCAGAGAATGAGGGGGACCTTCGTGCTCGGAAGCTGAAATCGCCTCCTGCCCAGCCGGCGAGGCAGGGGGAACCTGCCCAGCCGGTGAGGCAGGGGGAAGGGCAGCTGGTTGGGCTGGCAAGAGGAAGAGAACAAGGGGGGAGGGGCTGGGTGTGTGCGCGGAAAGTGAACAGACCTGAAACCCCTCCTGTCCCTCCTGCAACTTCCCTGTCTGCCAGCCCCCACCTGAGTGGTGCTGTCTTTCTGCCTCTGCTCCAGCTTGGAAACGAGGAGGAGAAGGGGGCTCCTGATGGGGGCCCAGGCCTGAGCAACAGCCAGGAGCTGGACAGTGGGGTGGGCCGAACCGACGAGAGCACCCGCAACGAAGAGAGCTCTGAGCACGACTTGCTGGGGGACGAGCCCCCCAGCTCTACCAACACCCCTGGCACCCTGCGCAAGTTTGGCCCGCAAGGGGATGCCCTGCAGAGCCGGGACTTCCACTTCAGCATGGACTCGCTGCTGGCGGAGGGTGCTGGCCTGGGAGGGGGCGACGTGCCAGGCCTCACCGATGAGGAGTATGAGCGCTACCGGGAGCTGCTAGAGATCAAGTGCCACTTGGAGAATGGCAACCAGCTGGGCCTCCTGGTCCCCCGGGCCTCCGGCGGCAATGGTGCCCTGGACGTTAACCGCAACGAGAGCCTAGGCCACGAGATGGCCATGCTGGAAGAGGAGCTACGGCACCTGGAGTTCAAGTGCCGCAACATCCTGCGGGCGCAGAAGATGCAGCAGCTGCGGGAGCGCTGCATGAAGGCCTGGCTGCTGGAGGAGGAGAGCCTCTACGACATGGCAGCCTGCGAGCCCCAGCAACACTAGCTGGCTGACCCTGAGAAGTCCGACAAAGACAGCACAAGCGCCTACAACACAGGGGAGAGCTGCCGCAGCACCCCACTGATGGCCGAGCCCCTGCCCGAGAGCCCCCTGAGGCGGGCTGCTCCCGGCGACTCCAACTTGAACCGGACCCTTCTGGGCCCCTCTAGCGCCAGCCCTCCCAAGGCAGCTCCCCAACAGGGGAGCCCCGCCAAGTTCCGATCCCTCTCCCGGGATCCCGAGGTGGGCCGGAGACAGCACGCAGAGGAGCGCATGCGCCGCAACCCCAAGGTGGGGGTGACCCTGGAGCGCCTGGGCCCTGAGGGCAGCCCTTACCTCTCACGGCGCCACCGGGGCCAGGGCCCAGAGAGCGAGCACTACCAGAGCTGCGTGCAGCTGGTCCCGCCTCGAGGCCTGGAGGAGCTGGGCCATGCGCCCTTGAGTTTGGCCAGCGGCCCTCGGGTGGGCGGGGTGGCAGCCACGGCCCCCGAAGCACCCCGCATGGAGTGGAAGGTGAAGGTGCGCAGC